TGTCCAGGATCGGACATTGTTTTGTTCTGCTGTGCATGGGGTTGCTATGAGTCGGTTCCGACTCGATGGCACCTGACAACAACAACAACAATGTTAAGAGAAGACACATCTAATTATTTAGTTCATATGCATGAGCCACAAGAGATTTCTAAATCTCCTAATTAGAAAGTTAGTCCAGGTATGCCACTGTAGGTCAAGCACTGGACTGCAAACCAAAAATCAATGGTTCAAATCCACAGAAGCCATATATAAGGTCACTATTAGCTTAAACCTACTCGACTGCACATATCAACATTAGAACAACCAGTACATTTATCCATTTGTGTACCTTTTCCTGATGAATATTTGTTTTATAGGGAAAGATTTGCTTTTTCAGAGAAATCACAGCTTAAGAAAGGTAGAATATAAAAGCAATTTTAAAGTTAGCTTAGTCAAAAGTACCTTTGTCATTTGTGATTGTTGGGTCTCATAACTGATCTCATACCCTACCTACTTCAGGGTATGTCAGATTGTCAATTGTTAATTGTTTTTCTCACTAACTCCTGAAAAATTCCAGTGTGATATTATTACTCTACCCAATCACAGAGAAAATGAAGATCAGAAAATTAAATATGAGAGCATTATACCTATATAAAGAAAGCTCATAAGTTATGGCTAAAAATACTAGATTGTACCTTTCCATCATACAAAAACAAACAAACAAAAAAGAATCTTTATGGGAGCAAGAAAATGATTCTATATGAGATATACTGTTTCCCTCCTCAGCATGATGCAGCAAAAAAAGTATGGTTCCAGAGACAAAATGACATAATTTGTCTCTTTACATGTGTCTCTACAAGCACCACTTAAAAGTTCAAATAATGATGTTGGGAATGTGTTCTAAAGTTCAGCAAAAATGTTAAGCTAAGACTATTTATTTTGTGTGTGTGGTACTCTGAGAATATCCATTTAATTTCTGTGAATAAACACATCCAGAATTCCAAATAACCAACAGACAGGAGCTTTGGAAATTGAATCAATCATAACTTTGATTTTTCTGATTCATAATAATTTAAATAATTGAATGAATGTTTATTATTTCAAAAACACTTGTGCTAGGGATGATATTCATTGAAGAAGGGTAATATGGACGCCGGCTATAAATATAAACACCTTCTTTATTTATGTAACATCAAGTTGGAATTCACTTATGTAAGTATCCTAAGAAAGGTAGCCTCTTTTTCTTTAATAAAGCATCAACCAACTTTTGCATGCTAACACCTTCAGTTTAATACTAACAAAAGAAAAAAAAAAAAAAAACTGTAACATTAAGACTCCTTGGGTGTGGTCCTTAAGAAAGGTTATCAAAGATATTTAGGTCACTATTCTTCAGGAGTCTTGGTGTGGCATAATGTGCTGGTGTGGGATAATGTGCTGAAATGCAAATTCTGTTTAAACTGCAAGGTCTGCAGTTCAAGTTTACAAACAACAACAACGTTCTTCATTGGGAAAAAATGTACTTGTCAAGTTTCTCAGAAGCTGAATTAAGTTCCAAATTAGATTTTCTCCAAAGCATGTAAAATAACGTTCAACACCCTAAACACTTTCAACATTCATCACTTCTTAAAAGAAAAAATAATGATAATATGCTTAATATTTTACTATACTTGTGCTTGTTTCTTGCAAAAAGGATGGTCATAAATCAATTCTCCCATTAATATGAATTCATCTGTGAGTTCTTACCAGTTTTATGGAATTATCAAAGCTGATAAAAGTAATATGATTCTTGATGGGAAGTTGACTTATAATTGAGAGACATTGAGTGAAGAAGACAAGATTGAGTTGGGAATGACATTTATTTAAATAATTTGATATTTTAAATATGTATTTTATAGAATGGTGGTAAGACTTCATGGCAAGCAATTAAATAGCACTCTAATGTTCTAACATAAAATGATTCTAACTATAAGAAAGAGTATAGGCTAAAGAGGGAACCAACACCCAACAACTACAGTATATAAGCAGTAGATCCAGCAAATAGCAATCACACTTCAGCAACCTGCTTTTTGCAATTCTATCAAGGCCTGAATTCTTCATTCATTGTGTCTTACAAAAATTGCAGCTCTAGAAACTACAGCATTCACTCCCTTGGGAATTCTGGCTATGTTCCTGTCACCTCACCCAGTGCTCTCTGCTCCACTGAAGTGAGCTGTGGAGATGCCCTATACTCTCCCACTAGCAGCCTGGGCAGCAACACACTCCATGACAACTGCCATGAACCATGTAGGGAGCCTATGAGCTGCAAAGCAACCAGTTGTGAAAATCATTCCTTTAGTGCCACTGTTTGCTCTCCAATCAAATCTGATGTATCCAGACCTGTTCAAGGAACAGGCTGTTTTCCTATCATGTCTCATGGTTCCTGGTCCTGCCATCCAGTATCCTGTAGACAACCTTTAAGCTTTTATCATTCCTTTGACTGTCAACCCCCGAACTACTTCTCTTATGATCATCAACCCCTGAGATACCTACCCTATAATCGGCAGCCCCTGAGCAATCTGTCTTATAACTATCAACCTCTCAGCTACATGTCTAACTGCTACCGACCCATCAACTATACATACAGCACTTTTCATCCATATTCTTGTTCCTTCAGTGGTTGGTAGTATCCATCTTAAGGAATATCACCATGAATAGCTGCAAACAATCTCCTGATTATTGGCTTTTAGACTTAATTTATCTTCATATCTATAACTTTCCATAACATACTTATTGTATCTCTTGAAATGCTGTTAAATCTCCCTCATAAGACTTTTCTTTGCTCTCAGGGCTCCTGTCACTTCTATAAAAAATATTTGAGGTTTTCAACATGGATAAAATCCTTATTTCCTATTTACCTCCTAACAAAAATACATCTTAGCATATAAATCATATTTTTCATGTGTTATCATTTATGTGTACCTTGTTTTGTGTCTGCTTATTCCCTTGGCACATGGCAACTACTTTATGCAACATTTATATTTTTTTTACTCTGGATTAATTTTGGAAAATATTGAAATTATTTAGAGGTAAAGAGAATTATTCCTTTAAAGAGACCTCTAAAAATCTTTTAAGAGCATGGGGCAATAAAATTTAGTGACTGTCAAAATGTCTCTGAAGTTTATAGGATGCCTTTGGGGTTTGACTTTAGGATCCTTCAGTTAATAGAAAGTTTAGACACAAAGTACCCTAATAGTTGAAATAAGCTAAGTGTCATCACAAATAAGGCCCCTTAAACTATAGAATTATTCAAGCACATTTTTGTTCTTCTAACAAAACTAGATGAAGAGGTCAACACGGCAGCTGTCTACCATGCAGTCTTTCAGAGATCAGATGACAGAGACATGGTTCCTGAAGATGTGGCACTTGGAATTTCATTCCATCACATTTAAATATACACTCTAGTGTTTTAGACTTAAATACCACAAGGGGGACAGGTATACTGAAAATAATTGTGTGTGAAGAAAAAGAGGGAAATGTGCAGTTGGCAAGCAGCAGTCTCTGGAAAAGGGATTCATCAGAGACAGAATAGGGAAGAAAAAAAAAAATCCCATGTACTACCACATTATGAAGTTCTGGTATGGCAGTATAGGATAAGCACTGGGCTTCTAACCACAGGTCAGAGGTTCAAGCACACAAACTATACATAGTCATTGTGAGTCAGAACCAACTCAATGGCACTTAACAACAACAACAACAACCACATCATATTTAATGGTATTTACAGTTGTGGAAATCTAACTTAATTTGCTTTGTGTACTCAGATATTTAATGTTCTTGACTTTGATTTCACAAACTTTAGGTTATACTCAATTTTGTTTCCAACATGGGTTGTAATTACAGTTTCTGTTTCCTTAAATTGCTATTTTTCAACTTCTGATTTCTCAGTTGCTTCTCCAAACTTAGTTACAATTATATGACCTTAGTACAACACTTTTTCAATTTGACTTCATTTCCATAAACTGACATATGGCTGGATTGTGGTGAACAGTGATATGGGTATTTGCTATTGAATGAGAAACATGATAAAACATGTTTTGTGTCAGTCCTTTCTATCATCACACTCAAGCCTCATAACCACTCCCTTGTACCCAAATTATCATTATATTTACAAGGAGGAAGATTTACTACTTTTACAAGGAGGAAGATTCACACAAGTATTCTAAAACCTAAGACTGAATGTGTGTGTGTGTGTATGTGTCTGTGTGTTAGGACATATTTAAGATTCAAATTCACAACATCCTGTTCTATAGCCTATGTTCTGTTTTGGAATGATATTCATGAATTTAAAATATTTCATGAGTTTTGTATGCAGATCCTTAAAGAAAAAATAATACAGAAAACAAAACAAAATCATGACAAACCACCATTCATCCCATATTACCTATGCCAAGCATTTTGTAACTATCAGCCCTAATCTATTTCCCCACATCTGTCTATCAGTTTCTCATACTGTAGTTACTTGTAGCTATAATGCTAGAGGTTGTGCCACTGGTGTTTTAAATGCCAGCAGGATCACCCATGGTGGACAGGTTTTGGTAGAGTTTCCAGACTAAGACAGACTAGGAAGAAGGAGAGGTAGACCACATCTGAATGGTTAGCTGTAGAAAATCTTATGACTGGAAGTGGAACATTGCCATATGTTACACTGAAAGATGAGATTTTTAGGTTGGAAGACATTCAAAACATGATTGAGGAAGAGCTGCCTCTATAAAGGAGAATTGATCTTACTGAAATAGATGAAGTTAAGCTTTTGGGACCTTCATTTGCTGATATGGTACAACTCAAAATGAGAAGAAACAGCTCCAAACATAAAGTAATAGTTAGAACATGAAATATATGAAGTATGAATCTAGGAAAATCAGAAGTTGTTAAAACTGTAATGGAGGCATAAAGATCTATATCACTAGCATTAGTGGTCTGCTTTTGGTCATATGGTTTATTATTCTAGGAACAATAAACTGAAGAGGAATGGCATCACATTCATTTTCCAAAAAAAAAAAAAAAAAATTCAAGATGTATCTTGAAATGCAATGCTGTGTGTGACAATAACCATACACCAACAAGGAAGATTACTTAAAACCATTATTATTCAGATTTGCACACCAACTATCAAAGATTGTGATGATGAAAATTGAAGAACTGGAGCTGTAGGATAAATACTGGACTGATGACCACAAAGTAGGAGTTAAAAAACACCATCTACTCTCAGGAACCCTATACAGTGTCGTTATGAGTCAGAAATGACTTGAGAGCACACAACAACCAACTTCTTCAGTCTGAAATTATCAAACGTGATACCAAGGTGCACTGATAATTACTGGTAATTACAATTTAAAAGTTGGAGACAAATAGGAAGAATCAGTAGTTGGAAACTATGACTTTGATAAAAATGGTGCTGAGGTCACATGAAAATTTCTTGCAAGACCAATGAGTTGTTCACTACAAATACCTTTTTTCAAAAACAGAAAAGGAAAATATGCTTTTAGACCTTACCAGATGGAATACACAGTAATCAAATTGACTAAGTCTGTGGGAAAAATTAATGGAGAAGCTCAAAACCATCAGCCAAAACTAGGTCAAGGACCAACTGTGGAAAAGATCATCAATTACTCATATGCAAGTTCAGGGTGAACCTTAAGAAAACTCAAACAAATCCACAAGAGCCAAAATATAATGCTGAATATAGCGTAGTGGTTATGAATCGGGATGTGAACCTTAAGGCCATCAGTTCAAAACTACCAGCCGCTCCATGGGAGAAAGATGAGGCGTCCTGCTTCCATAAAGATTTACAGACTCGGAAAGCCTGTCCAGTGTCGTTATGGGTCAGAACCGACTCGACGGCACTTAACAACAACAACAACAATACCCCACTTGAATTCAGAGACTATCTCAAGAATAGATTTGGTTCACTGAACACTAATGACCTAAGAGCAGAGGAGTTGTGGAATGACATTAAAGACATCATATATGATGAAAGCAAAAAGACATTTTTGTCATTTTAAAAGACAAAAAAATTAAAAAATAAAAATAAAATTGTCTGTTAGAACATAGAGAAGCAAAAATTAATTGGAAGAAATGAGGAAGTAAAATAGCTGAACAGAATATTTCAAAGGGAAGCTCAAGAAGATAAAATCAAATATCACAACAAAATTTGCAAAGACTTGGAGTTAGAAAATCCAAACAGGAGAACATGATCAACATTTCTCAACTTTAATGAACTGGATAAAAATTCAAATCTAGTGTTGAAGTACTGAAGGATACTATAGGCAAAATGTTGAATGACTTCAGAAACATCAAAAGAAGATGGAAGGAATCCACAGAGACATTGTACCAAAAGTCATTTTAAGAGGTAACATATAATCAAGCATTGATGGTTTTGAGGGAAGAGTCAAGCTAGCACTGAAGACACTGGTGAAAAATAAGATTCCAGGAATTGACAGAATATAAAATGAAGCATCTCAACAAACTGATACAGCACTGGAGTCTCTCCTCGTCTATATCAAGACATTTAGAAGGCAGTCACCTGACCAACATATTGGAGGAGATCCACATTTGTGCCCATTCCAAAGAGTGGTTACCCAATGGAATATGGAAATCATCAAATAATATCATTAATATTTACAAGCAAAAAACTGCTGAAGATAATCCCAAAACAGGGAGCTCCCAGAATTTCAGGCCAGATTTAGAAGATGCAGATTATTGTTGATGTCATATGGATCTTGGCAGAAAGCAGAAAATTGCTTTATTGACTATGCAAAGGTGTTTAAATGTGTGGAACAAGACAAAGTATGGATGATATTGGAAAGAATGGGCACTACAGGACATATAATCGGGCTCATGAGGAACTTCCATTTAAACCAAGAGGTAGTAT